CTTCCTTCCTTCCTTCCTTCCTTCCTTCCTTCCTTCCTTCCTTCCAGATCTGATGCACATTTCCCTTGGCATTCTGTCTAACGGCCAGCAGGGGCTCCTCTGGTTGCAAAAAGTCTTAAGAGAGCATGACCTTACTGCACTTTCCCGATCAGTTTATGCTCTCAGTCTCCTGTTTCCAGTCTTACCCAAGTGTTGCTTTTGCAATTTAAGTTCTTTTGAGTAAATGAAGGTATGAATTTATTTATCATGAGTTTTTCTTTAGTCAAATGTGGTTCAAAACACTACAATGGTAACACGACGTGAATGTTCAGCCTGAGGATTCACACAGTACTTCACACACCTTTGGCATAAGTGTATATGTAGTCTATGTGAAGAAGAAGAAGAAGAAGAAGAAGGAGGAGGAGGATAAGAATGAAAATGAGGAGGAGGTTAGCCACTTTTTTGTTTGATTTGGCACAGATTTTTTTCTGGATGCCCTTTGTGTTGCAACCCTTCAACTTCTGCATCACCTATAAGATAATGTCTCCAGTCAACTAATTATGTTTCATATAATAAATATGTTGATACCAAAGTACTGTAGTACATACCGCAGTACTGAGGCAGTATATCTTTGTTCCAATTACCAAGAAATTAAAGCTGAAAGCAGCAATTATGAAGACTTTGCATCTTTGAAATTGTGCATGAGAGAAACTTCACGGGCAGCATGTCGATGCCTTCAGAGCAGGACTCTTATTGGATGCTGCATAAAGAAGACAAGCTTGTTTCCAGGTTGGAGATTGTTGAACTTAACTCCATTATGATCACTGACTGCTTCCACTCGATAGCCGCCCACATTACGGGCGTTGCAGTAGATGTGGTCTTTGGAAATTTCAACTATTTCACACTCAACTGATACCGTATTAAACAGTTCACCAAATTTCCAGTTTTTGCCATGACTACCACTATACAGTGAGAGTGCATACGATTTACTGTTTGGTAAGAAACAAGGTTTGCAGCAAAAGGAAGTATAAGCATAAACTGGGATAATCAGTCGACCACTCTCTGCTGGAATCCCATGGCCTGGCCCAACAGCAAATGTGGACCAGTTTTTTATTTCATTCAGTTTGTCCGTCAAATCGGTCACATCGCTCCAGGTTTCTCCGAGATCCTCACTTGTGATGAAGCAGAGACGGGTCCGGTTGTCACAGTTTTCTTTCTGGTACATTTCAGTGATAGCGTCTTCAACACAGATGAAAAACAGGAAAAGTTTGTTGTTGACCTTGCCATACACCGGGGCAGGGGTTCATTGGACGGTATCCTTTGATAAGTGCCTTTTCCACCTCTTTGAGCTCTGACCACTAAAAGAGAGATTGTTCAGGAGTAAATAAAACAGAACAGTTTAAAACAGGAGCGTAATTAACAAGTTATTTAGAACTGAAATGGTTGATTATCACTATTACCCCAACCGTCTTCTTAGAGGATCCCTCCTTGATCTTTCCTGTTCTTATAACCAGCTTTTCTCCGCTGGCATTATCTGAAGTCTTCCTCTGCTCTGCAAAGGCAAATAAAGTTTTACTTTCTCTCTCATACAGAAGAGCAGGGATCCTGTAAACGTTTCCAGCAGTTTCATTAGATGTAAAAAGAGTTTGCTTCTGCAGCTGAGCTTTTGGTAAAGGTACGGTGAACATGGTTGGTGTCCTTGCATGCAAAATGACCATGTAATAAAGGTCTTGCTGGTTATATCTCTATGACTGTCAAAGTTTGTCTGATGGGGATTTTATAAGGCTGGTTTGTACACAGTGTGACTTTTCATTTTCTGAAGAAATTATTAACATTTCAGTGAGCTGAAGTCTCCCCTTGTTGAGAAAGTCAAGTCCAAGGAAGGAGGTGGTTCCGGAAAACAAGCTTAGATCAGAATTAACATAACCCGTCTGTGTAGGCAACTACCTCAGCAAACAGACACAACCCAGGTAGCATAAATTAAGCATTACCGGTTGGATGTGTGAAAAGCAGCCACTTGTTCAAGTTCTGGCTTGGGTCATTTTTTGTATTTGCACTTTCATTTTGAGTTGGAAAGGACACCACACTTCCCTGCCAGTCTGAATTTGTTTACACAAGCTTCCCAGCAGATTAAAGTGTGCTAAAATTAATTATAATTACTGACAGCTTCCAGTCAAGAGCCTTTGTCACTGTGAGCATTGCAGTAATTTGAACTGAGGTCTTTTTCACCATGAACCTCTGTCATTTCACATTTACCTGATCTTGCAATGATCATACTGCATTATTTGACGAGTACTGCCCTCTTCATCACTGGAACTACAACGAATATCAAGTAATCAGTATAAAGTGGCACGATCTGTTTGAATACCAGTGATTACAGTGCTCTCTACACAGACCAAAAGGCTTTTGCTTGTCTTCTCATACACATCATGTACACCCATGTGTATTAGGCTATGGTAGGGGTATCAGTTTAAAAGAGATGGCATCAGTTCGTAAATAAAAGAAGCAGCACCATGCATCAGTGGGACATTTTAACAAATTTGTCCCAATCCGTACAGTCTTTATAAATAGTAAATGAACCCAAACTTTGCACCAAAATCCCAGCAATCGTCTGTTCTTCTATTCTAAAATTGTACCCAGTGTTAAACTCTTTAATTCTAAAGCTACACAAATTATTTATGGTATTTCAATATATCAGAATATACAAATACTGAAGCTTTGTTTACACGTTTA